GCGCGTTAGCTCCTCGCCCGATCGTCTTATACGTCTTCCAGGCACCGTCAGAGCCGAGAGTGTCGAAACGAGACGAACTTATGCCGCTGAATTGTTCGGTGAAGCCGGAGTAGTAAAAGCCAATAACAACTACCAAATAGGTCAAAAGCAGAATGCTACCCTTGAAATAATTGCTCTTTCCCTCACCATACATGTAACTCAAGAGAAACACGCAAAGAATTACAGTAACCATGTCCCACTGTGGAAAGAGAAGGCTGAAAGTCCAGTGAATAGGATCCAGCTTGTCTCCTGTAGGCTCGATGGGGTAGAGGGCCGAGAACAGGACCAAAGCAGGTATTTGAAGGAGGCAGACCTGAAGAGCGTATGCAGATCCAATTTCCATTGACAAAGCAATATTTCCGTTCATGGCAAAGGAAATAGCGTTCTACAATGCAGTATTGATTAGTAAGTAACAAGAGACGGGGTACGTGAAGTGGCTCCGGCTTACCAGGAACTCGGTGGTGTTAGGAACAAGAGCAAACAGCGTGATGCCCAAGAATTTGGGGTCGATCGCATAATTGTCTAACACCACGTCGACCGTGTCGACCAAAATTTCGGCTACTACAGCATAGAGCACGGTGGCCCCCATCAATATAACCGAACTTTTCGTCCTGCTCCAATTCGGAGCATCATGTCCTCCATGAGCGGCTTGGGCGTGCTCTGCAGCTTCCTCCATGTCAGGGAAAGTGCTTGAACGCAAAGGCGTAGGCCTTGCCGCTGGAGCGGCGGCGCCCGTGTATGATGGCTGGTGGGAAATACGACGTGACCCTCGAGCATCGCGGGCGGCAATAGCGGCCGCGGTGGCAGCGAGCTCGGTCACACCACGAATAAGATTATTGTTCTCGGCATCTGAAAAGCCTGGGATCTGAACATGGGAAAGGATGCTGTCCTCCCCACTTCCACTACTTTTTGGAGGGACCATGTGCGGCGTCTGAACAGTTCCATTCGGGGGGATTGAGCCTGGACCTGGCGGCTGGCGTGAATGATGTCCCTCCGACTCTCCGGGAAGGCCAACCTGTTTCAAAGACTGGCCCAGAATGCGTTTGTACAAAGTGCTATTCTGTATGTCAGCACCGCTTGCGTCGGCAACGTGGTGTGCTTCGGAAACACGTGTAGCGTGTAGGTGATGTTGCTCGTCTTGCTTTTTCTCCTCGACTTCACTGTTCCAAATGACGGCAGCGTGGGTTCTGAGGGTAAACCACAGACCAATGATATACGAGCAGAAGAGAAGGGCGGCCGCCATGTAACAATAGGGGCGAACAGCCTCGATATAGAAGCGATCGTCCAGCGCAGGCCGCTGAGAGTAATAACAACGGCGACAATCCCGTTCGGTGTGCTGATCGAAATCCGTACAGCTCGAACATCGAAGCTCGTGGGTACCATAGATCTGATAGAACAGCGTTGGCCCGAAGGCTGCAACAGTGGCAAATAACAGCATGGTTGATGTTACACCAGCTGACCTGGCGTTGAAGCGTTGCGTCTTGCGCTTGATGGCACCGAAACACATCGATAAACCGGGAAGAAAGAGAATACCGGCGAAAATACTTCCGATAATGCTGCCCTCGACCAGTTGGCCCTTGCCATCTTTTAGCGCGACGCAATAGAGGAAAACCTCCACGATAGTCGAGAAAAGCGCGTTGATGGCTGCGCCTAGGCCCATAGATGACTGGGCTGAAATTGAGGCCACAGCTTGCCCAATAAAGTAAGCTAAGGGGATGATGGAAAATAAGGCGGCGATGAAGAGAAAGCCAGGGGATGTCAAGAAATTTTCCATATGCAGGACGCGTTCTAGTACTAGCCAGTCGAAGATGACAAAGACTACAACTGCCATAAGGTTGATGAGGAAGATATTGGTACCGTCGACAGTATATTTCCAATACTTGGATCCCACGGCCCGGTAGGTGCATAGCAGGATCGCTGAGTGTGGACCATCTGAAACTCTCGCCGTCGTGATATCGGATTCGAAGGACAATGCCAGTGGATGCCTTCTAAGATGGTCGAAAAGGAGATTAGTGACCTTACCCATTGGTATCCAGAACACCAGGAACCAGCATGTGGCGGAAACGAAGAGCAAAGAGGGAGTGATGAGTCCCCAGAAGACAATGAAGAAGATGACTCGTCCGATGTTCCACTCCCCGCGGCCGAAAAGACGCCTTTTCAGCGGACGCCCCGTCTCCACGTCGGCAAAGTCGTGACGGAGAGAGCGCCCAAGTAGGCTGTCTGTCTCGCTGGGTTCAGAATCGATACTTCTCCTCGAACGGCCAACGATAGATCGGTTCCGGGACTCGGGGCCAAAGAAGAGCCTGCCATACTCGAGGTCTCCGCTTTGCCATTGTTCATACTCACTAATGCTTCGTCCTTCTCCTTGATCTTCGTCTAGGTAGGCCTCATCCTGCTCCAGTCGAACAAATTTGCCGAAGGGGTAGAATAAGTAACCTGCTAGGCCCCATAACACTCGGCCATACTCTCTCCCACTAGGAGCAGCGGCGAAAATGAAGCAGACACCCGCACCAAGGGCTGCAAAAGAGGCCATCCACCAACCAAATAGCAGCGTCCAGATGACGTTGAAGAAGAGCAGCCAGTTACTAACTCGACCACCAGGCGAGGAATGAATATCGACCTCGGCCGTCTTTTGAACCGAGCGGTCTTTCTTGTATAGTGCGGGTTTCCAGATTCTGATACCGAAGGGATGTGTCTCGTTGATGGCCTGTTGGCGATCCTTCAGGGTGAAACTCTCAGCATCACTAACATCATCATCATCATCTTCGTCTTCGGGCATTCCTGCGTCAGGAGGCACATCTTCTTCAACTCCTTCGTCGCGAGGCTGGACATGGGTAGGGCTCTGTGCATCTTCTTCAAGGCGTTGCTCGATATCACTATCCTCTGCTCCGGTACTACGGCTTGACTGTACCCGAGACAGAACGGGAGCCATGGTTCGTCGGCGAATGGTTGAACCCGGACGAGTCGATTCGACACTATAGGGCTGCCTCCCCACTGTATCTTTCCCCACCTCTGTTATATCATCGTCGGTCGAGAAGATTTCGCCCCTATAGGGACCCTGGGTGGTAGACGAGGTACGACGGGCCATGGGAGGTTTTCTCGGACGCTGTCTACCACGATCGGGACCTAGCATAGGGGAGCGCACCTGCTGGAGTCCAGCTCGCGAGTGGGAACGGTCGGGGGTCGCATGATCACCTAGTATATGGGCGGAGGTAGAAGCGGAGGCTGAAGACGGAGGTGGAATCTGAACGGTGCCTGGACAGAGTCATGGACTTAGTATCGAGTTTATAAAAAACGGAGAAGACAGGGAGAGCGGGAAACGCACCATATGACAGCTCATGTCTCCTCCGCACAGTTTCGGTGGACTGACTACCTTCGGGCAACACATCATCTCTTACGTCTCTTTCTATAGTATTGCGTCTACTCGGGGGTTGACGTGTGCTTGTGGGGGACTGCGAGACTGAATTGCTCGAGTCCTGCGAATGGGGGTCCATTGCGGGCGTCGTTGCACCGTGACAAACACCTACACCAGCGCACGAAAGCCGTTGACAGAATGTAAGACAAACTGCATAAGGGGGGAGGAATCTTGTTGTTTGATTATAGGCAGTCAATTGAATTTACAGCTGTGGCGGAAATAGTGAAACCGCCAGTCCAAGATATTGGGTTAGGAGAGAAAATGAGGACAAGGCTATTGGTAGTGGAAAACGACCATAGGTGAGTAGAGTAGGTCGAGATTATGGTGTGTCAAGATGGATGCCGTGCTACAGCAGCGAGGACATTTGCTTCCCCCGAGGCGAATGATGGAGCTTGAAGCGGAGAAGATGTCGATGCAGATAAACAACCACTGCAAAATATCGACCGGCACCTATGTATGCAGCTATGCAAGCTATGCAACTTGGATTGGAGTACAACAGGAAGGGATGAGGCACCAATAGAGGCTTAACAATAACAAGAAGAATTTGAAGATCAACGTCTGTATTATTGGTTCTTCCCTTTTTGTGTATTTTGTTCAACCATGAAGCTGACACTGCCGATACAGCCGATGTTATTATTCCCAATGATAGATAGTCCACGAGGGAACACTTGGGAGAGATGAGATAGGGTTGAATGATGATAGCGCCCCGTGATGAATTTACAGTGGACACCACTGACACCCTGCAGCATATCCCTGTTGCATCTGCCCACTAAAAAGGTATCGCGTTCCAGTACATACCTAGGTACTTAGGTACACTAGAACATTTGAAGCTAGGCTAGTGGTGGCGCACTGAATGATATAGCAGCCCGGATTCTTGAAAACGAAGTTCTACTATCGGGAGACGAAGCTAAACCTAATCTAGCAACTATTAATCAAACATATTAATTGCTCCCAGCCTAACCTAATTTATATGGGAGGATGAACACACCCTATAAATTGTTATGTAATTAAAGAAATTAACAGTTAATTGCGATTGCTGCATGTAGAATTAGTAGCAAATCTGCAAGTATAAAAGATTTGATGATGATGATAATGATTGTCAATTTATAGTCCGTCCCAAGCCTTTCTAATAAGCTTATGCAGACTGTAATACTATGCTATGAGCTACCTTAAAGTAAATACATTCTATGGCGTTAGAAAATTCCGGTTTAATAAATACGATTTTTGAACTCGGTGCTAGGTGTGGATATAGCTGGCTCTTCTTATATGCTGTAAACGAATATCTACTAGTACAAGTACTGTACGAAAGTAGTGATGCGGCCGTGTGTTTATTAGCTGTAAGGGTAGAAGTGAGAATATGTCGAAGTATGTTTGTAGCGATATAGATATGATAAGCTAGGTCGAAAGTCTGTATCGTATTTCTAATTGCTCTGACTTTTTCGTTGCTGTTTATTGGGTAGGATATGGACTTTTAAACCTAGGATGGGACTACCTAGGGATAAAAGGGCTTCACTTAAATTAGTCCGGGCGTTTCTAAAAACCCGTTTGGCCAGAGCGGGATTCGAACCCACACCCTCTCACAGTTCATTAAATAACTGACTCTTAAGAATTCCAAGCTCCTGACCATTGAGCCATCTGGACCTATAAAAGATTAGCTAAGAACACTACTTAAATTAAAGTACTAAATAACGTCCGATTGATAGAAAACGTGATACGTGATAGTGTTATAAATAGTTGAAAGTGTAGTGTTAGTTAAAGTATTTAAAAGTGTTAGTTATTAAAAGTTTGCTAATAAGTGGTGCTGTAGTACAGTTATAAGCGCTGCAAGTGCTAAATGCACTATAAATATAGTAGTCTTATCTACTAAATTCACTGTAGAATTAGTAGGTGTTGTTTTAACTATAAGAATAAAGCGATTTCTTTAGTTACATAATAATTCATGGGGTGTGTTTATCCTCCTATACAAATTGGGTTAGGCTGGGAGCAATTGATATGTTTGATTGAAGGTTGCTAGATTGGGTTTAGTTTCGTCTCCCGATAGTAGAACTTCGTTTTCAAGAATCCGGGGCGATGATATAGTCATCCTAGAGCTACTACAATACCTACATGTAAGTATAAATGTCAAGAGGATCAGAACTCACCGTGACATTCCAGCAGGACGGGATATGGTAGCCATGACAATGGTCATAACATGGGAAAGAATAAAAAATGTGTCAACGACATGCATGTATGTGTTTTGTATTACTATCCGAGTACATTGTCGAGCAGCATTGTAAACGCTTATTTGCGGTCCCTACTGTAAGCAGAGTAAACATACATGTAGAACAGAGAGAAAGTTCTTGGCGTCTATGTTTCACATGCATTAAAAAAGTCGAGATACAGCTGTACTTTAGATAGTACTTAACGGAAGAAGCCAGGGTCCACACCCCAGCTGTGGATCCGACCCGAGCTTAAGAAGTCGGAATTTAGAATAACCGTTCTCCGAGATACTCTCTGGGACGCGTTACTGTGATCTCTGCCTGCTGTATTAGGTTGGTCAGTGCTCTAGAATTAGGTGGACCTCATGAAGCTTACCTAACCTTGCATTCGCCATCATCCCAAGGCTACCTAAGCCATCTAACCTAGCCTCATCGTCGCTGGTTGTTCAATCCGTCACTAGGTACACACATCCACACATCATCATCATCATCATCACCACCACTTATCTCCTCTTCACGATACCCCATCATTCGACAATTCTCCAACCCCCCCAGCTTATATCATCAACAGTCCATATATCAAAACCCGAAATCATCCTTTAGTCAGCGATAACCCCCGGGATCGGGTGCACCAGCAAACATGGCGCTCGACAACTACTATCACAACAAAATCGAGGCCATGAAGCTCGAGATCCTCAAAGGTCAAGCTGTCCTGCGTCGCCTTGAAGCCCAGAGGAACGACTACAATTCTAGAGTACGATTACTACGCGAGGAGCTAGGACTACTACAACAGCCCGGTTCCTATGTCGGTGAGGTCGTGAAGGTCATGGGCACGAAAAAGGTTCTGGTTAAGGTACATCCAGAAGGCAAATACGGTATGCGCGCACATCTGTCTCACCTCGATCGAATCGGCGGTGTCTTTCTAACAAACCCTTGCAGTCGTGGATGTTGCCGATTCCGTCGATATAGCAAAGCTTACAGTAGGCAAGCGGGTGACGCTGCTGTCCGACTCCTACAAGCTCGAGAAGATCCTCCCGTCCTCCGTCGATCCGCTCGTTTCCCTCATGATGGTCGAAAAGGTACCCGACAGCACATACGACATGATTGGTGGTTTAGATCAGCAGATCAAGGAGATTAAGGAGGTAATTGAATTAGGTCTCAAACACCCGGAGCTCTTCGAATCCCTCGGTATCGCCCAGCCCAAGGGTGTGTTACTTTACGGCCCACCCGGTACAGGGAAAACACTGCTTGCCCGAGCCGTCGCACATCACACAGATTGCAAGTTCATCCGCGTATCTGGTTCCGAACTTGTCCAAAAGTACATCGGTGAAGGTTCTCGTATGGTCCGTGAGCTGTTCGTCATGGCTCGTGAACACGCACCTTCAATCATCTTCATGGATGAGATCGACTCTATTGGTTCGTCACGTGTCGAGGGATCATCCGGTGGCGATTCAGAAGTTCAGCGGACAATGTTGGAGCTTCTCAACCAGCTGGACGGCTTCGAACCCACCAAGAACATCAAGGTCATTATGGCCACAAATCGTCTAGATATTCTAGACCCAGCGCTCCTGCGCCCTGGTCGTATTGACCGCAAGATCGAATTCCCGCCGCCATCGGTTGAGGCCCGAGCTGATATTCTTCGCATCCACAGTCGCAAAATGAATCTTACGCGCGGCATCAACCTAACGAAGATCGCCGAGAAGATGAACGGATGCTCCGGTGCTGAACTCAAGGGTGTCTGCACTGAGGCTGGTATGTACGCCCTGCGTGAGCGGAGAGTACACGTCACACAGGAAGACTTCGAGCTTGCGACAGCCAAGATCCTCAACAAGCACGACGATAAAGAGGTCTCGCTGCAGAAATTCTGGAAATAAGCGCAGGCATCTATCTCGCGATGTGCAGTTGTGTCTAGTAACCAGAAGGTAGACAACACATAGCGACATGCATTCATACCGATTCATCGGTCATACATTCATATGTAGCGTGGTGCTATGTGGAGATGGAATGGGCGAGAGTCAGGGGCTATTGGCCATGTTCACTTGTCCCGGTCTTGTAAAGTGTATTATAAAAACAAGCATTCTAGAGATGGAAGACAATGAACAAGCAGACAAGCACTCCCTGCGTCCCTGCTTTTAATTTAGTCCTGTTGTACGTTTTACAAGAATATGCGTCTGCGGCCCAAGGCCTGTAGTAATGTTTGGAGGGCACGGTAACGGCAATTGAGGCTTGTGCCCGACACCCAGGTCTCATACTCACCACCATCCCTTGGGAAATTGTCAGGCTGTCCAAACTTAGCTCAGGGAATCGTATTTAGACGAGCCGAGAGAGACGCAAGTTCTTTAGCAATGAAATTGACCATATATATGCGTTGATAGTAAACTAGAAGTCAGTGGAGCTTAAGTCGAGCTTCCACATGTGGCTCCGAGGTCTTGAAGATGAAAAGATTAAGCACAATCACAAAGGCAGAATATACTATTACGAGATCAAGTAATAATCGATATCTCATTTCTATTAGGCTCATCAGAAGGAGGGTAGGATGAATTACAGCCTATAATTGCTATCAGCCAGCAACGTGTGCTCCCAAATCTACCTTACCCGGTACGAGGTGTGATTTCAGCCTCACTTCGTATGAACCAGATCACTTCCCCACGTACTCTCGACATTGCCTGAGCCTTCCTCCTTGTCATGATCCATGATATTATATCCTATTCGTACAGACTAGGCCAAAGCCAGCCAGCTCTTGGTCGTTTATTTCCTCCCCGATCCATCCCTGCCACGCTATGTCTGCGTTGCACCCACCAATCTGTCTAATTAAGTTCGAGATATGACTCGTTCGTTGCTGTGCAAAGAGACCGAATTCAAAGCTCTAACGCCCACGATGCCGTTCTGTCTGAATCCAATAGGAAATGCAAAAACAAAACATCCCGACGCCTGTCCTGTTGGGCACCGTAGCCCATGAAAGAGCTGGTTAGTGTCGACAGCCTGGCTCGAGGCCGACACGCTGTTCATTTATGCAAATGCTGATGCTGTTGCGATGCGATGCAATGTGATGCGATGCGATGCGAAGGGTTCTGAGTCCCCATTATCCACTTCCACTCTTGCCGAGATATAGAAACTCCATGGCGAGTCCAATTTAACACATCACACATGGGCGTAGGTCACCTGGGACCCTGAAGGCTTCCACTGCGAGGTCTACCCCGATTGTTGGCGCCAACATTGTTCTTGTCCTGTAATCTCCAGACCCACTCGGTGATGCTTTCGTAGCAGAGCACGAACTGCCGTAAACTTTGCACCATACTGAGTCGTTGCTTTCTGAAATCCTCAACCGTTGCTTCAATCAAGTCGAGCCCAGTCTCACCAACCCAACCAGCGTCGATACCCTTGATACTCCCCGACAGGCCTTCAAAACCGTCGCCATGTTTAGCCTTCTTAGGTGAAGAGGCTACATCACCCATGACCACATCTCCATCAGTGTCCTTCCGCGTTGTTCTTGCCAATGAGGCAAGCCGTTGTCGCTTCAGCATATCGATGACACTGTCGACAGTACAAAATGTACCAGTGCGCCCACAACCGGCCGAGCAATGGACCAACAGAGGTCGAGCCTTGGCATCTGACTCTGGCTCATCGAACCAGCTCATAGTAGATGGGTGCTCTCCGGCAACTGAGGCAGTGACCGCTCTGGCATCGAAAGGAAGAGCAGACCTGTGCATGACATTTGCCAATTCCACCAGCGCTAATAGATGAGAAGGTTGAGCCGGAGTGCCAAAGTCAGGCCACGATGGGTAATGGAGGTGCGTAATTTCACGAATAGGTTCAAACGGATGGGCTGCATGAGATATGGCAAATTTTCGGATGATCACATAATGGGCATCACCCTGTGACTGGGACTGCTGCGGAGGCGCACTGCCTGTGGAGTCGAACGTTGTCGTGGTGTTGGCACGTCGGCGGCCAGATTCCAGGCTGCCCGGAGGAGGCGATGCAGAGACCGAATTTGACATGTACTTATCGATATCAAGGGAAACCTTCTTCTCGGACAATGGTTTCAACTTAATCGGCCCGAATTCTCGTCCTTTCCAGTAAGGGTGGCACTTAAGTTGACCACCTTCTTCTTCAGCTGTCAACATGACGATGACACGAACATCTTGGTCCCATACTACAGACCAAAAGTCCTAAGATGCACAGTCAGCGATGTTTTCTCAAAGAGGTGTAATCAATAGTTGACGGACATCAAACGTTGCTGGCAGAGGGCCTTGAGAGGCAATATAACGTTTGTGACTCCGAGAAGCTTGAACGTAACTGGCGTTGATGTAGTCACAAGCTCCAAATTCCTGACCCGTCAAGCGAACTCGAGCATGCTCGAATGGAAGAATGTCCTTGTATCTATTCTTGCCCCCTTTCTCTACACCACAAAGCTGTATTCTCTCTGATTTCGAGCCTGCCGGT